TTATATGTTACAACACCAATGTAGCTCATAAGTGGGGTCTAATCTCTTTCAAATATTTCTCTACAATCAATTATTACAGGAAAATGCCAATTTATAGATTCCCGGGAAAGCAGAAATAAATAAATAAATCTCACTCAAAAATTCGGTTAAAGCCCTGTGATTGACAAACTGAATCCGCCGCTTTCGACGCTTGACTTGGCTGCATATGGATTGGCCTATTAAGCGGGCCAAAAGCAGAGAAAGAGACGAAAGTTGAGGCACAGGTGTGGGTTTTCTGGGTTCCCCGAGTTCTCTGGGTTCTTCGGGTTCATGTGGGTGGCTTTTGGGCGGTTCTGGTATTTGGTATTTGGTTATTTGTTATTGTGGCCAGGACACGCACGCCAAGTCAAATTGGCTCATTTATCTTATTTCACTTTGCTCAGTTATTCGAGGGAAATGTTGAAATGTTTTTCAGCAAGCGGTTTTGGGGCTGGGGGCGTGGCATGTACTGGTCCGTGGCCTTAATGACCTAATGCTCGTATAGGGAATACTTATTCTTTCACAAAGCCAAACAAAAAGATTTTACTTTTTAAAAACGATTTTTGCATAAGAAAATTTTACAGCTTTGTTTGGGCTTGTTGGCCATAAACCTCAAAGCACAATTGTACACAACTAATAAAATTGCATTTTCAAAGCCTCTTCCTTGGGAATTTTAAAATGGTTGGTTTTAATAAAATTCGAATTGTTGTTTGACTTGGCTTCACTTTTTGGTTCAAAATGCATACGCATAGATTTATTTGATTACATTGTTTTATTTGTTCCACCATGCGAGTTGAAAGTTCGTGTTTGACTTGAGAATCGCACACTTGTTTATGAACGCATACAGTGCGGGCCATAAATATTTATACGGCCAGACGCGTCGTCGACCAGATTTGACTGCCATTTGCACATTGTGCGAAGAGAGAGTGACAGTTTGGAAAAAGTTTGCAAATTACATTCGTGTGTGGTGTATGGTATATGATATAGACACGATTTGAATGATTTTAAACGCATTAGCATATAAAATACACACATGGTCCCCACGGTTCTTTCTTCTTCTCGCCGAAACACACAAATTCTCATTGCCGACACTCCGACTTTTCACACGGCCAAAGAACCAAGCGTTAAGCAGAATGAATTTTCAGGCAGACATTTTCAACATAAACATTCTGGCAGACAGACATAAGGTGAGGTGTGGACCCATAAATGCTGTATCAAAATATATTCATACTTTGTGACAGGGGGAAAATAGGAACTTTGACCTTGTTTTCGAGATGGTTTATCATATTGCAAACACCAGATAATTCCTCCAAGATAAGTAATATATTTCGTTGCAAGGCAGTGAGAAGGGTTTTTAATAAATATTTTGCACTAAGGGGGTGCTTTTATTGTTTTTCTCCTATTGCTATTTCTTCTGTGTAAACTGTGTATGGAAATTCTGCACGTCTTTTGTACTTTTTCATATGCAAATGTAAGTAATTTTTCATATTGCCAGTGGGCGAAGACTTTTAATGTGATTGCACAGCTGCCGAAAAAAAAAACGAAAAAGAAAAGCATCTATTTTTTATCCTGCTTATACCACCCAACTTTACAAGTTCCTGAAGATTTCATGCCGGGAATGCAGATGCAAAGCACTTAAATCTGAGTTGTTTTCTGTTCAATGAAGTTCTAGTGCCCGCCTTTTGTTGATTTTCTCTCCAGAAATTTGAATGTGAAATGTAAAACTCTTTGCTGGCTATTGGTTACTTAAATCCTTGGATTAAGTTGGAATTCAACTTATTATCAAAGATAAATGCTTTGTCGACTCATTTCCTATTCCGCAAAATGTTGACCTTTCGATTGAGTCACGTCTTAATATAAATATTTCCATAATCAGAACAGTCATTCAATTAGAATCGTTATCGCTATCGATAACGTCTTTTAATAAACTTCAATCAGAGTGATCGATTTATCGCTCGCTTTTATGAGCTTTCATAAAAAAAGCCACGAATTCCAAAAAAAAGACCTTTACTTCATGCTTTATGACCATGTGATGTGTACCTATCCGCGAGTCCCCATTGTTCCAACCACAGTCTCCCAATTTTCCTGTATTTTTGGAGAAAAAAGTTAAGCTCCTTTTGTGGGTCAATCGGCGGAAGAAGATTGAGTGGAATTCGGGAGGGAATTCAGGGACGTAGGAATCTCTGGGGAAGATTATTGAACATTTCAATTTCGCAAAAAAGCATATGAGTTAAAAATCCTGTCGCCTTAGCCTAAGATCTCGTTTTTTGCACAGAGAGAAAATGTTGAAAAAAGAATAGGCTTGGTAACAAAATAAAACCAAAAATAAATCAGTTTCCTGAAGTGAAACCAGACAGCTGAAAATATCAATTAAAGGGGAATATATTTATCCGCTATATATCCTCTCAAATTGCAACACGTTCCCGGAGAAAGTCCGTAGCAATTTTCGCATGGATGAAAATAGCGGGAAGGCGGACGGAAATCGGGGAACGAATAAAGCGTTTCACGGGAAAAAAAAGTGGCGGAAAGTGAAAGCGCTAGCGTAACCAGACATCGAAAAAACAGAACAATAACCACAGTAGGCACTTCAAATTCAAACAAACTAAAATAATATGTATACGTTCTTATAAAAACAGGAGAACAAACGACGAGGACAACAACAAGAGGTTGCGCCGTCGGCATCAGCAACAGCTTTTAAATTGTAGTTATAAATAATGAAAATCCAACAAACAAACAGCGAACATGAAAAATGGTTGAAAACAACTAAAAAAAGACGAAAAAATATGAACCAAAGTGCATGCAGCTCAATTTTTAATTCAATTTTTAAAATTGAATTGGAATTTAGAATATGTTCTGAAGTAATCACATCAATTGTAACTATAGAAAGATGAAACGATGTCACATAGAGCTAATGCTTCAATGTCAAATGGAAAACGCAAATAAATTACATAGTATAAATAAACAAGGTCATGGAAAACACTTTTTTTTTTCGTGAAGGAAAGATGAACCAACATTCATTGGGAAATACAAATCTCATTTATTTTAGGTACAATGAGGTAAGGGAATTATGGAAATGAGTATTCGACATGGAAACTTATGAAGCTCCCTTAAATCTTACTTAGTTTTTTAGAAATTTTTCAAAATTCATTTATGAAACGCATTACGAGTTGGTTCATGAATTAGTTCGGCCCACTTTGATTTTTATTTGCGCGTCCAACTCTCGTGTTTTCTTTTTAGTTTTATATTCGCAAGGTCCTTTCGACAAAGTCCAGGACATCTGACAACAAAATCGGGAACGAAAGGGAGGAAAATGAAATTAACAGACGCAGCAATTCCACCTCCACATCCACCCTCCACTTTTCGTGTTTTTTCCCTCCATCAAAATATTTGTATATATTAGGGGAGGCAACAAAGAAAATATGTGGAGCAAAACGCCATAGGACATGGCCGGCATTTTTGATTTTGTTTACATTTGGCATTTTTCATATTTTTTTTCCATTTTTTTTCGCCTTTGAGTTTCCCGGGGCAAATGACAACGAACGAAAAACAAAAGTGTAGCATACATTAGAGGGTCTGAAGTACGGGGTTATCCAGCAGGAAAACCGGGCAGTGGGTGAATTTCAGGAATCGAAATGAACACTTCAAAGGCACTGTATTGTTAAACTATATTTGGTGTTATTTTACGAAAATAATATCTATAGATACGAATTAAAAAAAGCAAAGCATTACTGAATTATCATTCAATACAATATACAGTAGAATAATTTAAAAAAAACTCCTTTGAATCAATAAAAACTTATTGAATGAAACTACTAGCCAAAATGGCAACATCAGTTCTGAGAATCTTGGATACCACAGAGCAATTCCCAGGCGAGAAGCAACAATCAAAGTCATATGATTCCGCCAGCAAAACGAAAAACCAAAACGAAAACAACAATTCCAAGTCCCTGAAAAATAAACTCGTGACAAACAAGAAGAAAGCGAAAAGGGCGCCAAGAAAATGGGGGGAAGGATGAGGATAGAGGGAGGCCACCAGGCAGATGTTACCCTCTTAGCAAATGCAAGGATACCGATGTCCTCGGGCCCTACCAAGCAATGTGTGTGTCTAAATCACACTGAGGAAAATCACAGGTGGATAGTTCAAAAATCTGACTTCGATATTAACAAGTTTAACCAATGTACCAAGTAATTGAAATAATCGACTTTTCGAAACTTTGAAACACTTTTCTAATATAGAAAAACTTTTTCTATATCGCATCAATCGAAGTTAAGTGAAACCAGAACTTCGGTGGTTCGAATTTTTTAGGTTTGATTTGCCAGGTTCGGTTTATTTTTTCAGTGCAGACAAGTGTGAAGGATTGGTATAAAATATGAGGGGAGAAAAGGCCAAATTGTAGGCAAAGACGTGAGTTGTCTAAGCGTCTGTCTGGCACAATCAAAACAAGAAGCCGTCAACCGGGCCAACGCAATTCTAATTAACTGCCAGATACACAAGGACACTCGCACATCCAAGTGGAGATGGCGGATTGTAGGCAGGTGGCCCAATACCCAAGTCTGCGTTTTTAATCCACAAATTAAGTCGAAACCCCGAATATCCAGCGAAAACTAGCGACTGGATGCGAAGGGTGTTTAGTTGGAAGTACTTTGTATTACTAATGCGCAGTAAAAGGCATTAAAAGACAAGCTTTTCGCGAGTGTCCTTTTCGTTTTTCTCTCGCGCAAATAGATGTTGTACCTTCGTATCTTTTTGTCTGCTCGTTCATTCATCGCTTTCATCTCGCTCGTGTACTCAACATTAATTGTAATCGCAATAGCAGTTGTAATTGCAAATGACATAAGTAAGAGCTACAGAGCGGTGATAATGATAATGATAACAACGATAACAACGGAAACAACGAAAGCAACAACCAACAGTAATGGCACTGCCAACAACTTAATGACATCGAAATTGAATTTGAGTTACTGGTCCCAAAGCTTCTCACCTGTTGGTAGCGATGTCCTTAGATCACAGGTCCTGGCCGCTTTTTGAACCTCATGATGAATAAATTCGGCTTTTGGTTTCGGCTTGGTCAAAAGGTCAATATTTGCCTACATCGGTTTGGTGTCGATGCGCGATCGCGATTTAATTGTCCCTGAATCGTTGATTTCACTCTGTTGTTGAATATTGGGATTATATTATAGTCTGTTTTGTATTAAGTTTTAAGTTGAGTATTTAAAAACGATTCAATATTAAGTTCGGTCTGGGGACTCTTCACGTAATATCGAGTTAGTTGAAATGTTTTTTTTTCTTGATTATATATCGATTTTAAGTTGTGATCAGGATGGATCATTGATCAATTATTAGATGTCTTTAGTAATCCATCATATTAATTGGATTTGAACAATTTCATCAGTTACCCGACAGTTCAGAAGTGCGCTTTGATTTTTTTCTTAATCGAAGCAACTCAATCAAGTATCGAGTTATCAGCTTGATCTGAAATCGATCACTATAGTGTCGATCGAGTATGGGATGCATATTAAGCTCTTTAAAGATTTTTCATTGGTTTCAATAGTTTTCGATAAATATTTGTTAAATTTAAATTATTGATAACATCTAAATGGTTTTTTTTTTCCTTTTTCCAGATGTGTTTTTTAAGATTATTTGGAATTGGCGTTTGGAAAAATATTGTGTAGAAGTAAGTTCGATTAGGTGTTTCTTTTAATCAGTAAGATTTGTCTTAAATTTTGATTTTAATATTTAGACAGTGATCGTAAATATACAACAAAGTGAAGTTGTATTTTTTAGATCTTCTTGGATCATGTATTATTTTAAGCAGTATAATCTAATAGTTGTTCTTTAATATGGTTGGATGAATTTATCCGATCTTAAATAGTTTGTAGACTTAACTCCGAATTTTTTGTTTTGATAATAAATTGATATTCACTCCAAAAACTGGATTATTTAAAGTGATTAATATAGTATATAAAGTAAATGTTTACTTGATTTTAAGTTCGGATCAGATGGTAAGTTCAAATTCTGATCTGTAGTTTGATTTCCATTGACTTTGATTTCAATTTGTGATGTTCAGCACTGGGTAAAATTTCGACTTTGATTTCCTGGATTTTCATTCAATTCACTTTCGATTTGCGTAAGTACATATGTTTTTGTGATATGTTTACTGCAGGAACAAGAAAAAAAAAAAGAAAAAAATTGAATATTTTCAATTTAACTGGAAGCATACACTTGAACAAGCACTTGACCTATGCACTAAAAACGATTCATTGGCGCTTAGAACACGACAAAATAAAATTAAGCTTCTGGAAAACCACAGCAGCAGTCACAAATTGCGCGGCATTTTGGGTCGATGCTTTTAGTTTCAATTTTAAATTCCTAGAATGATAGCCGAAAAACTTGGTTGTTTGGCGCTCAACTGGTTTTCTTTTTTTTTTTGGCGCCCAACAGTTTGGGTAAGAGTGCCGCTGTGATTTTAACTTTTCCTGGGCAAGAGCCAACGAACCGTTTTCAAACACTTTCAGCCAAAGACTGGGAGCCGCCGCCGTTGAGCGCCTGAATTTAAACCTTTAGCCCTCGGCCCGCCGAGCTGCAAATCGGAAAAGCCGAGTACACATGGCTCGGAAAAGCTTTGACAGCTCCCACTCAAAAGCATTTCATTTTGCGTCGTACTGACCTGGTTCGCGGCTAGGAAAGCGATAGCTTCCCTGAATCCGGATGTGGAGCGGAAAAGCCACTTGTTGAGGCCGGCTGGGAGCTTTCCAGTTGCCAACCAAAGGATAAAGCTGATCGCAGAACAAGCTTTTACCACGCAAAATACAATATAATATAAAAAAAAAACACAAAAACTGTTCAAAAACAGTTAAAAAAGAAAATCACTTGAATTCTGATCGATAAAATCCCTAGACCTTAATAAATAACAATAAACAGAGTCAAATTTTCATTTTAAGGGATACGAGATTAGTGAAGTTTTAACGTTTGTTCGTATTTATCTTTAAGAGCAAATGTGTAGGAATATAATCGTCACGATTTCGCAACAGAAGCGGAAAATGTCTCGTGTTGCGGTTCGCTTGCCACACAAGTCTTAAAACCTTAAACCCCGAAACATTTTCCAATTAAACGCGACAGGCTTCTGTTTGTGTGCGAATTAAGTTCTTCATTAACTGAGAGTGTGTCTACTTATGTATGCAAATATGTACCTTTGTTGACGCGTGCAACTGTCGCAGCTCCAATCCTGCCCCTCATCCTCATCCTCCATCCTCATCCTCGTCCGCATCGTCATTTACATCCATATTCCCATCCAGGCGCTGAAGGGGCAAAACTCTTTTTACTTTCACGAGTTGAACGAATGTTTTTTGTAAATGGAAAGTGTGCACACTGACACCACCTTTGTTTTTACACTAAAGAAAATGGGGGGTGCACAAATAAAATAAATAGAAATTAAAAAGTTCATAAGCAAGCAGGTTTTCTTCAACATTTTCCCTTTCTTAGGAACATCATCAAGAAACTTATTAAAAAATGTTAACTTTATTGAATATCGCAGTGAATATCTTGGTATTTATAAATATTTTATGCTTTAAGAAATACTATTTAAAAATGTAAATGAGTTCTATGTTTTTACGTTGAACCAGTTCGCATTTAGAACATTGTAATCATCACAGAAAATACTTATTGGTTTTGGATTATATGACTTGAAAATAATGAGCATGATCTAAGATCTGGTTGGAATTTAACTACTGAATGAAAAATGTATTCTTACTAACCAACGAATTTCCCCGGTGTTGCCCAGACTTAGTGGCAGCTTGTTTGCAACACGTCTATTAGCACAATCTCTGCCCCGTGAAGCTCCAACATCCGTGTGCCCGCGTTACAGGATGCCCAGTTCAGTGGCCGCCAGTCCAAAGTTGGCTTTGTTTCCTGTTTTTTTTTCCCTTTTTTTCGCAAAAAGTGTAATAAATTTTCCGGCTGATGGCTTCCGCCCGGTGGCTTACAATGCGTCAAATAAGTATATATCCATTGCTTTATTATCTTGCTCTATACATTTGGTTTGCCGCTGTTTGTGATTGAGTGCGTATGTGAGATGTGGGTGAGTTGTTAAGTATTTTGTGCAAAATTTAATTAAAGCTACTTTATCACTAGGTTGTTTACGTAGGCGTCAATCATTCCGCTATATACAGCATATATATATATATATATGTTGCATATTTATAGTTTAATTAGTGTTTACGGTGCGTTCCAGAAACATAAAAATAATCATTTTGTTGTTGTTAAAAAAAACATATTCGTAAACAAAAATACAAAAAATATGGTATAGTTCTTAGCCTATAAACTAAATGAAATTAAGTTACTTTAGTTTCGAGTAAGGTCAATAATAATATAAGCAAACAGCTTCCATTAAAACGAAATTAAAATTTAAGTAATTCATTTTTCTTTAAATTATAACTTCGTATTAAGTTACAAAAATGATTCAGAAGGTAGTTCGATAGATGGAACGTAATTAACTAATTAATGTTTAACTTCCCGTTTCGAGATTTGGCTACGATTTACTTTTTATTGCTGACACGCACGATATAAACTAGGGTGGTTCGATTAGCATAAACTTGGAAAGCGTGTGGTGAAAAGTATTAAACAAAATCACGGATTATAAACAGATCTAACTTTTGCCTTTGGTAGATACATTGCTTTACATTGCTGTGGTCAAAAGGCAATATTTTACAAACTAGTGACGATGATTTACACTATTTATGATGAGGTCTTCTTATTGAGTTACCATATTATAATTAAGACTAAGGTCTTGAGGCCGAATGCCCTTCATAAAGAATTGCGATATGGCAAAACTTGTTAGACTTATGGTAAGCTTATAAAACCGATCCACCCTGGCGTTAAACTTATTGTTTATTTCTTTTGTGCCTTAAGGGCGGCTAACTACCGAATACTTTTGGGGTAACTACCTGGGCGGCAATTGGATTGCGGATCGCTCAGTGTCAGTATCAGAACATGCCGTCGGATCGGGCCACGGGTATAAGCACGATAAGAAAGATGACGAAGTTGCGCATGACCAGGCGCCAATCGCTGGGCACGGCATACGGCAGCAGGATTTGGGTGAGGCGGTGCACCTCGTGCGAGGCGCACACGAATATGAACGAGGTGATGATCATGTTGAGCGTGGGGAAGCCGGGCAGCAGCACCAGAACTCCATGGCGATCGGCGGCCAGCCAGATGTGATACTGGCAGACGAACAGCTCCAGCGAGATGCGGCCAAACCAGGCGAAGAACGCCGAGTATCGTGTGCGCAGAATGCCCGAGATGTTCCTCAGGACCACATAGCCCACGATCGGTATGAACAGGATGTACGAGTGGATCTCCTCGCAGTTCTGTACGTTGCGGCAGAGGAACGAGAACGATGTGTACACACCGACGCCCAGCAGCGCCAGCAATGTCACCGATATCGAGGTCCGCCGCGAGAACAGATTCCCATGGTTGTTGTCATCGAACACATTGTACTTTTGGGCGATGTGAAAGCACGCGGCGTAGATCATGCCAAAGGCCACCGTGTACCGGTCCAGCTTCCACTGGTGCCACCATTCGTGCAGGTCGTCGTCGGTCGTCACGAACAGCGCCTTCCACGGGCGCGTCACAAAGATCCGCTCGAAGAACACCTCCGACATGAAGAGCACCGTTATGCCGCCCAGACAGCCAATGCACTTGCACACCAAGTACAGATAGTGCAGCGGATTGGAGTCCACCGAGGCGGACGAAATCCGAGGCGGCAGGGCCAGCACAAAGTAGACGACGCACAGCCAGAAGGACAGGAGTGGCACAAAGTAGTAGAACTGATACGGACGGTTCATGCAAAAGCACAGCAGCACACTGAGGAAGTTCGCTCGGAACATGGCCTGGAAAAAGCGGACGAACAGCGAGCCACTGCCGCCTGTTTGCCACAAGTGCGTAAAATGTGTTAGCCGGTGAGGAAAAAATAGCCGGAGATCAGCAGCTTGATGTGCATATGAATGGGCAGCACTCGCTGCGCTCCGGTCATATAGTATATGAGTACCACCAGCAGAATCCAGCCGCGCAGCTCGTCCGTTTGATCGCGGTTCAACACCTTGGTAAACCGCGAATCCTCCGTGAAGAACAAGCCCAGGGCAAAGACATAGCCCACCGGTATCCAGAAGCTGAACTCCGAGTAATATTTGTTCTCCTTCATAAAGAAGTTGGTGCGATCGCAGAGGTAGAAATACGCCAGAATAAGGCCGAGCAGGGAAAGGGCCACCATGGGTGTGCCGTAATCGGTTATCAAAGCGGATAACGCATTCTTGGGCGCTCCTCCTCCTCCTGATCTGCCGCCCTCGTGCGATTGCTGTTGCTGCAATGGCACATACAGGGTCTGGCCGCGCAGGTGGAGCATCCAACGCCGCAGGCACATTCCGCACACGAGGATCATGCAGACGCCGAACAAGGCGTACGCCACTATTTGCAGCGTGGTGTGCGGTTCGGAGCTGCTGCAGCAGGTGCCGTCGTTGTAGTTCATGTAGTCGTTGCAGTACATGTTCCACAGCAGCTGGACCTCAAGTCGCTGTCCATGGGCGCACAGTTGATGGCCATCGATGGCGTTGTCCAGTAGACCATTGGATATATGCCAGGCGGATTCCCAAACAGAGGCCTCTGTGTACCGGAAAACATTCCTGGCCACATGATTTAAGCCATCAATGTTCTTGTTCTGCAGTAGCTTCCAGTTTGCGGGCAGCTTCTCCTCGTCCACGCGATCCGCTAGCTTCCAAAGAACGCGTGAAGTCTGCGCCACCAGGCGATGGAATGGGGCCACCAGCAGGGTGAGATTGGCGGCATACTGGCGCAATACATCGTCCGTGGTGTTGCCGGCCAGTAAGCCGGCATAGGTGAAGCCCACCACATAGACGGAGGAAAGCTGTTTCTCGGCCTCGAGGCGGTACAGGTGCTCCACCAGCGTTGGACTCACCTCTTCCGCCCGAATGTACTGGGCCAGCATGTGCAACTTTTTTGTCCTCAAAGCGAGCCGAGCCATCCGCCACCGAGGCATTGTTGTCCTCCTCCTCAGGCACTTCATCCGCGGCCAATGGCAAACGAAGTTGCTCTACAAATCGCTCGTAGAGCATCCGAACACTATCGTCGCCAATGAACACAAAGTTGTTTTTGTTGTCAAAGAATGCGAGGTAACGCAAACATCGTCGAGTATCACTGTAAATAATAGGGAATTTTTGGGTAAAGTGACTCATTAATTAGGGGCGATTGGGTTATCTCTTTTTAATTACTCACGTGAGGGAGTACTTGTGCACCATGCAACCGTACGGCTGCCACTCGTTGTCGCCCTTAAAACGGCCCTTGGACAAAAGCCATTGGCAGGAGTCACTCCCTACGAGAAAGACAGGACAAATCAATAACAATAGGAGTGAGACAAGGCAAAACATCTACCGATTATCAAGACAGTCTCACCAATTGTTACCCACGAGTATTCATGACTTAATACTTTGTGTGTAAAAGATAACAAAGGACTAATTATGTTTTGTGCTTGCAGTGAGACATAAGATATATGTAGCAACTTAAAATAAATCCACAACAAAATTTATGTTGATAGCACTCATGAGTCATGACTCATTTAATTTGATGAGGAGATAGCCTGGCTTAAGATATTAAAATAACAAAAAGTTAGTCCAAAACTTTAAATATTACTAGATTTAACTTCAATCTACGAAAATACAAATGCAATATCAACTACTAATACTATATGTATGTATGTATGTATTATATGTATAAATGCATATGTATTTCTCTAAGAAAGTGGTTTTTTACTTACCGTAATTCCAATTGAGCAGGCCGTGGTAGACGATAAACCCTAAAACCAAAAGAAGAGCCACTTTTTTGGCATTGGTGGCATTCAGTTGCTCCATGAATATGTCCGCTTTGGTGGGCATCCGTTGACCTCCGCCTGTGCCTCCAATGCAAATACCACCTAGCTCCGGACTTGGGGCCCCGTTTCCCAATGCTCCAGATGTTCCGGGCACACCTGCTCCTCCTCCGTTTCCACCATTTCCACCGCGCAATTCGCGAAGCTCCATAATTTATAGGCCCTTCTACCGCCGCCGCTCCACCTCTACCTCGGATTCTTGGGCCTTTCAAATAGATAATGCGGTCTATTGCATGGTCTTAACCCAGTTTCACTTGATCCTTGACAACCGTCTTTTCCTTTCAACTGCTCTTTCGCTTTTCCTCCACTTTGCTTTGGGTTTTCTTTTTACTTTGGCTTTTGCTTCGCCGGCCGATAGGCAACCGCCGTTTATCGCTGTCCCGCAACTTGGCCATCGATGCCAAACAGCTGGTATCGTCAAATGTCAAAACAAATGTTTAAAAAAATTTTAAAAATTATCACAATATAAGATTATTATATTATAATTGATATTATTATAAAATCGACCGAAAATTAGAAAAGAAAACGAACAATTAGATAGGTAAAAAAAAGGGGAGTTCAGATTTTAAGAGTTCAGGATTAAATTGGTAAGCTTCTGAACTCAGAATTACAGTTTCGGGTCACCAAAAAATAATTTGTAAGGTTTACCCAGTAAGTATTAAATATAAACAATCGATGTTGCAAACTAAGCAAGCTTGGACTTTTAGTTTCACTGGTCGTTACGATTTCACTTTTGGCCATTTAGCTAACAAGTCGATTATCTACGATTTGTGTGTCGTCTTGGGAGTTAAGTTTAACATCCCTTTACAACTTAAAAAATAAACATATACTTTTATTTAATAACCGCGGTTTTTTAAAAACGAAGCTTATTCCCAGGAGACACGGAATCCTATCGATAAGAGCCGGCAAATTATCGATAGTCGGTTGCCAGCACAAAACGCACATTAATTGAATTCGTTTTAAACAATAAGGGTTTCAGCAAAAAAAAAGTGGTAAAATTCCGAATCAACAGATATGGTGATCGAGAAGGAGCATCCACTGGACAATTGCCAGTTGTTTGTTCAGCTGAGGATGTTATTTCAGGACAAAAGCGGGCAGAGTGTCAAATGCCTGAAAAACTTAATTTACTGGAGCGGTTTGTTGGTGTAATTGGATATGAATCCCGATTTAATGGCTTTTTTTGACAGGAAACGAGGAGCACATTGCGGAGACTTGCAACTGGGTGAATGCCTTACTGTTGGAGCACGACCTTGTCATCCAGAAGCCGCATGCTAAGCGTCCCGAGGAGCTAGTGACCCTTCCATCTGTTCCGGAGGCATTGAACCACCTGCGTGGCTTGCTGGTCTATCTGATACTAAATACGGCCACAGAACAGCATTCAGATCAATCACAGTGGAGCGCCCGGTGCATCCATTTGTGCCGTCAACTGCCGGCTATCCCACAATTCCTAACTATAGCGATTGCCCTAAGATGCGGGATGCAACAGCCGCTAGAGGAGTTCCTCGCCTGCGGACCCCGCTGGCTGACCTATCAGTACTTCGAGTCGCTCAGCGAGACCATATCGCACATTACCAAGGACCGCCTGGATACTCTGCCTATGCTGTTTAGTGGTTTAAAGGCAGCCGGACGTTCCATCGTATATCACAATATCCCCGAATCCAACAAGCGGCTATTACGCTTGATGGCAAGCATGCTACAGCGTCATCTTGTGGACTCCGAGGCTCGCCGTAAGGAACTGCCTGTACCCGCACGCAGAGTTTACCTTGCTCAAGCTATGCAGCAACTGTTGGAGCTGCTTACGGAGATTCTCAGCGATCCCAATGGCCGCGAAAAGCCCAAGTGCTTTGCCATCTACAGCCAGATGAGCGTGGATATAAGTGGCAGTTACTCAACTGATTACATGTCAGATCTTCGACTATTTGCCTTCATTCTGCTGGATGCCCTGCAGCGCATAATGCAGCTTGTATCCTTGGACACGTATATGCAGTGGCTGGAATTGCCATCGGAGCGCGTCCTCTATAGCTACCAGGAGCTAATTTGCAGCAAGGCGGCCGAGATGCTCAAGCTAGTCCAGTCGGATGAGGAGCTTAGCCAGAATGCGGTCTGCAAGCAGTTGCAGAACTTTGCAGAGGCAGCGAAAAGCTTTGAACAGCGCCTGGCGGAGTTGACAATCGGAGACTTGCTGTCTTTTCTCGATGGTGATCTTGGTGAAACCACCAAGGATCAGCGGATCGCCGGCCTGGCCGAAGTTTTCGGCCGTGTCATAACCTTCGCCAGTGATGAGTGCGTGGAGACGATAGAAAAGCATTTAGACTTGCTCACCGCCCACCATGCAGAATTGCTACTGTCGCATTTGGGCCAGGTGGTGGACTCCAAACGGGTGGATATGGACGAGGGCATAACCATTAAAGAAATAAAGCAGGAGAAAGAGGACGACGACGGCGACGGCGATCAGTCCATGTCTATCAGCGAAGAGGATGATGATGACGATGGGGAGTATGCTAGTATACTGAACAAGATCCTGCGTCCCCTGTTCCAGAAATGTAGCACACAGGAAAAGATTCACTTGCTGGAACTACGCGACCGGCTCGGCGTGACAAACGTTTACAAATTCGAGACACCTGATCACCAGGAACGGCGCGTGCGCTTCTTCAATCGTTTGGAATTCCACAGGAATTTTCCACTGGGCGAATTCCTGAACCTGTGCTATGAGAATCCCGCACAGACATGGCTCGATCTCGCCCGTTTGGGAATGACGCACCAGCGCTTTGCTGAGCTTTTCTGGCGAGTGGCCTGCCATTGCGCCCTCCATGCTGTCCACCACCTGGCCGGCTGTTCCAAGGAGCTGTTGGTAGACGAACAGCTGCTGCTGAAGCCGAACGCCTTGTCCTTTCTGCTCTCCATGTACGGCCACCGGCAGATTCTCAACGGTCTGCGTTCAAAGTCCCGAAAATATTGGGTTTGCCTGAGGGCCGGCACCTGTCCCTATGACATGGAGCAGCTGAAGGAGGCACAGGGCACCTTCCTAGAGGCTTGTGCCGACGGCTTGGAAAAGTTTAGCGAGCCCTTGAACTATACCATCCTGCAGTTCATCCTGCGACTGCTTCTACAAATTTCAGTGGCCGAAAAGCAGCTGCAGTTGAACGGCAACTGCCAGTTGGCGGGACTCCAGAAGGATAAGGCGAAATCAAAGGACAGTGGTGGTAAGGCACCGGTTGTCCAGGAGGCCAAGCACTATCTGGACATGCACGCCTTTCTGCCTGAATGGCGTCAGGGAAACTGGCCACTAATTTCCAAGCTGATGGTCACCATTGATGCTTTGAGATGGGATCTCAACACATTCGAGCAGGCTCGAGTGGATGCTTTGGACATGGCGGTGAAGTATTGGAGCCGGAATTTTCCGCATCTGCAGATGCTGGGCGTTGGTGTGTTCTCCTTAAGATAAAGCCAAAAGATCTCTGCTAATAATTGGGTTTCTTTACAGAATTGCGACAGAAGGTTATTCGGTTAGCTAGCCAGCTGAAACGGATCGACTTTTGGGTGGCCAGGCTGGATGAAGACGACTCCAGTTATAAGCGGCGTGTCTTTAGTTTGCTGACACAAGCCAGTGGAGCGGAGGCCACCAACCTCTTTGCACAGAGCCTGCAAAAGGGCATTGTGTTCGCGCTGTTCGACCTTCTAAGCCATGCGGTTGTGCAGGCCAAGTGCGAGTCTGCCTTGGAAGCCTACAAGTTCCTTTTCCGCCGCTATATGGTCGCCTTTCGGAATCATTTCCTACACCGCAAACCGCGACCGGTGGGGAGGCGCACCTATTCTAAGCACTTAATGGACGTTGTGGCAAGGGCTCCGCTCTCGATTCGCAACGACATCATGGCAGAAGCTCGTCTGGCTTTGTGTCCGCTCCTCCTAACGCTATAATCACATACTCAACCAAAATCAAAGTGTCGCCACCAGTCTAATATTTAGATAAGTGTGATGCGACCTTACACCGTATGAATACGTTTATAACTTTCGTTTCCACAAAGATTGAGTGTACAATCTAACGATTTCGAAAAACAGAACACAGTGATTTAATTTCAAGTTATTTCGTAAATAATAACCTTAAAAAGAAATCTATGATGAATTAAGTTAATTTATAGTTTTCAAGGCCATGAAATCAATTATTAATCAGGGAAATGTTAATAAAGTTAATTTTCATGACCAAATGTTCAAAATACGCATTTTTAATTCACTTCCATTTGAATTTAACGAGTATTTGCATGTTTTATTTGAGCGCTTTACGTAAGTTAACGGAAAACTTTGCTCTAGTAACTTAGGCATAAATTCGTATAGTCATTGAAGATTTTTAATGGTTATAGAAATTATCCTGTATAATGATTTCAAAATACGTCCATGGATGTAGATCCCCGGGCTACGCAGAACATTGGTTGAAAACTAAGATAGTTAAATTTTTCACACACCCGCAGCAGCCGACACTTACGATAGTGTGTTTTATCGATGAATCGACACCACAATCGATTTATTTCCAGCTCTAGTGACGCATGCGTTGGACAAGCGGTTTTTTCTGCTGACAGAATTTCTTGCTTTTTTGCATTTGCGTTTGCAACTGGAATTTTTCGTAGAAATCGAAACGTGAAAAACCCGAAAACGAGACCGAAATTGAAGGAAAAATCAGCTTAAAGTCGTTGGAAATAGCGCACGTTGATCGTAGTTTTTTTTTTCGACATTTTCTGCAAGAAAAGCCTGTGCGTGCGTGTACGTGTGTTTGTCTCTCTCGCTCTTCTTGTCCACGCGTGTGTGTGTGGTCGCATAAATTTACCGATATTTCGCCTGTGAGAGCGAAACGGGCGAAAAACGAAAGAGGACAAAAAAAGCTAAGAGAGGCGAAACAAAACGAAAAACAGCAGCAGTTTCGTTGAAACATTGGGCAAAAACGCAAACGTAAGCGAAAAAACCACTCTTATTTTACATGTGTTTGTGTTTCAGTGTATGTGCCTTATAATACAATTTCGCGTGCATTTCCCTAACAGCAACCAACATCAACAACAAATATTGGCCAAAAGCAGGACGCACAAAAATCTGAAATCAAAGAAGAAGAGTGGAGAAAATACGAGAGAGAGATATCCCCAACAACAATAACTGCAGCGGAGAAGATACAGCAACAACAGCCGCCACAATGAGCAAATCACACTTTGATCTTCCGTTGACCATTGAACCGGAGCATGAGCTGCGTTTTGTGGGTGAGTTTATTTATTTCTTAATTTGCGGGGGGAGGTCGCCTCATATCGACCAAAAAATCCAATTCACCTCCAGTTTGTTGCAAAGAGCAAACTGCAAAGTTCGCTCCCTCTCTTCAACACAAACACATTCCAACGCGTTTTTCCATACTCTCTATCTCTCTTTTCCTCACTTTCCTTGACTTTCTGCTTATCAATAGTTTCCGTTGTTTTTGTTGTTATTTCGCATACGATTTTCAACGCATTTCATGTTGTTTTTTCTTGTCAACGTGTTTCGTCTGCTCTTTCAAGTTTTTTCTATAGTTTTATTTTTTTTGATGCCGGCCCGGCAGCTGGCGTCGCTCTCTTTCTCACTTGCACTCGATCTCCCTCCTGCTCTCACTCGCTCGCCCTGCGATTTTTGGCTAGCCTTTTATTTTTATACGCAAAAACTTGTCATGGGCCATTTTCATTTTTTCTTGTCTTTTTACACTTTGAATTTTGGCCAAAAAGCAACAGCAGCAGCGGCAACAACACTGCAATATAGGCTAAGAGCCTGCACAGTGGCTGAGGCAGGCACAGATTTTGCACAATAACAATACATTTCAAATCCCAAAGGGGGCTTAACTCTCTCACTAACAGATTTAGTTTTTCACCAAAAAACCAATATTTAAAATGTTAAATGAATAAACCATTAATTTAATAGTCGAACCCACTGTGCGCAAATATTTTCATATTTCTGTGTGTGCTCTTGTGTGTGTGAGCCTTAGCCCCATTCTTTTGCACCACCCTCCTTGTTTCCCGTTAGATCGCGAAGGGTGTGGGAGACGGAGGGTCAAAAACACATGCATGACGCGACTTTGTCTAATGAAATTTCCTTGACGCACACACACTCGTCGAAACAAATAAACGTACATTCAAACATACTAAAAACAAAAAAAAAAAAGAAGTCGGTGTGTAACTATTAAATTTGTTTTATGCTTTTTTTTTCGTCCTTAAAAATAAATTGAGAAAAGAAAGTGAAGAGTTTTGGGAATTTTCCAAGGCCTACGATCGATTTCTAGTTGTATGAAAATCAATGTACAAATAACCGTCAATAACATGATTCATAAATAATTTATTTAATAAATTATAAATGGATGGAACCATATAAATTATAAATCATATATGTAGATCGATGATACAATTTTTAAATTAATATTTCCTATAACTTGTTATAACATCTTATGAAAAAGTATCTACTTTGATTTGATGGGTAACTCCAAAAACGAATTCCCGCTATTTTAGTTGTATTTGTTCTGTTCGATATTTTGCCAGTTTTCGCTTTTGTTTTGCTTTTAATTCAATTAATTTGAACTTGCTTTGGCCAATGACGCAATGAGCGTGACGTGACACTAAATTCAGGAAGAGGGGGGACACTGAAAAGGAGAGAAAAGCAGGGAAAGTGCGATTATGGGGTGGGTGGTATGTTGGGTGGGGTTATCGCCAATAGAGTGTGACTAATCGGATGCATCCAGAAAGTGTGATAGTGCCGGCAGGCATTTTAAAAATTGTGATAATGCCTGACTTCTTCGAACCTAAGGTTAATTATTCAATTTTCCATTTCATAAGTAATCGAAAGTTATGTCTATCATTACAATCACATTGCAGGTCCCTTCAACCGACCCGTCGTCACAATAATGACCTTGCGCAACAATACGGCTCTGCCCCTAGTCTTCAAGATCAAGACAACCGCCCCGAAACGCTACTGTGTACGTCCAAACATCGGCAAGATCCTGCCCTGTCGCTCGACCCAGGTGGAGAGTAAGTATTACATGTTTATTTCCGCATATATCTGCTCTAATAACCGGTATTCGCCTTGCTCACTTGAATATAGTATGCCTGCAGCCGTTCATCTACGATCAGCAGGAGAAAAACAAGCACAAGTTTATGGTGCAGAGCGTCCTCGCACCTTTGGATGCTGATCTGACCGATTTGAATAAATTGGTAAGAACAAATAGCGTCAAACGTTTAATACTTTGTGCGAATAATCATTTATGAGCCTGATCCGTATTTTTCGAAATGTACTTATTTATATTGTGCTCTTCTTCCTCAGTGGAAGGAACTAGAACCGGATCAGCTGATGGACGCCAAGCTGAAGTGCGTCTTCGAGTTGCCCAGCGCTGATGCGAATGCGGAGAATACCAGCGGTGGCGGTGCCATCGGCGGCGGAAGCGGAAGCGCCGGAGGCGTCAGCGCGGTTGTCAACACTAGTTCAGTCAGCGCTGAGGCGCTTGAGAGCAACCCGAAGCTCTCCAGCGAGGATAAGGTGAGAATTACCTGAACCCTGGCCGCCCCCTTTAAATATATGCTTAAATAATCTCTGTTAATGCAGCCCTCGAATTTGCCTGATGCGTCAGAGAATGTGGATTCGCTGGTCGAAGAGATAAAGGCGCTGCGTGAATCCAACGGCAACCTGCGAAAAGAAAATCTACACTTGAAGGTATGGTACAAGCAAATAGTTTACGCCATTTTCTAGAGGCAATATATGTACATTTATATAATATAAATAATTGTTTAACCCGTTCGCAGGATCAAATCACACGCTACCGCAGCTCGCCGGCCGTTAAGCAGGTGAATGAGCCCTATGCCCCAGTGTTGGCTGAGAAGCAGATTCCAGTCTTTTACATTGCAATTGCCATTGCTGCGGCCATCGTAAGCCTCCTGTTGGGCAAATTCTTTCTCTGAATGCCATAAACGAACGCCAGCAACATGCAACATGCTACGTGCAGCAGCAACAGCAAAAACAGCGGCAACACCATCAAACAGCAGCAGCAACTAACAACAGCAACCACAACGAAAGAACAACAGCAGGCAGCAGGAGCATTCAAATCCATTATCGGCAAATAAGATGCAACACGCAGAGACGAAAATAAAAAGCTGACAAAACAACAAAGTAGCAGTGAAAGGGAAATATATATAGGAAAGACATGAAAACATATTCGAAGAAAAAAAAAAAAATCTTTTGAGAAATATTGTTATTGCTCAGATTTTAAATTGCATTTTATTTTCGCTATCACTTATGTTTAAGTTTAAAAAGTTTTGCAACTTCCTATTTAATTCGTTTGTGATGCATTTTTAAACGAAAAAGTGAACACTTTCAAAGAACAACCAAAATTATCATTTATCCCAGTGTTTAAAAAACTGCAGTTGAATTAGCAGGAAGCAGAAAACAAAAAATCATTTCTAATTTTCGTCGCTGATTGATTTTGGCCAATGCTTCGACTGCAACTTCAGAAGCAGAAGCAAAACCGAAACTGCAGTTTTTTTGAACGCTGATTTATTCATACTTTTGCATACGAGAATAAACTTCAGTTTTATTAATATTGGCAATTTCTTTCTTTTCTTCTTTTTTTAACCACGAGGACTCACATTTAATACCCAATCAACACTGTCTTATGCTGTTGTTCTTGTACCATAAAACTATGCTTAAATTCAGTCAATTTATAGGTGGCATTATTTTGATTATATTATAAAGATTTCATATTTTTAACTTTTTTTTCGTACATTTATTTAATTGCTTGGCATTGTTAGTCAAACGGACACTTGCTAAGATATTGATTTCGCACGAAAATACAAGGCAGTGTAAATTGAGCAAAAATTAAGTCAATGAGTTAAAAACCAAATTTCAAGGACAAAAAATTGAGCAAAATGCAAAACATAAAAACAAAAAAAAAAAAAAAAAAAAATTAAACCAAAAAAAAAAAAAGAAACACTTATATGCAAAACCAATTATTGAAAAAAGCTTCAGAAAATAAGAAAAAAAAAAACAATGTGCTCTGCAAAGCTGATGCTCTCTAAAGAAAAGTTGCTTCACCCCCTCGTTCTCTCTCTGTCTTTTTCACTGTCTGTCCCTCTCTAAGTCCGTAAACGAGATCAAAGGCGGCAGCTATATAAATAAATTTATATAGATTTATATTCATTACTGTTTTGGGTTTGCATTTACTAAGTTTTGTTTTAGTAATTTTAGTGGTTACATCTTCACACATACACACACCATTCGATGACCGCTATATACATACATACATATTAATATTGTACGAACATAATGAATTTCTATAAGCAAACCTTTATGTAATTTGTGTTGTTTGCCAAGGCCGGATTGATAAAGTTCCGAAGCCTACTTAGCAGCGAAATTCAGAAAATCCACTAACTATATCTGATACGATATATATGATCTATAAGTGCAGCAAAATCAATCAACTTTTTAAAAACATTTACGAACACGAAAACAAGCAAATGCAAACAAACACACACACAGACACAGACACAAACACACGTAATGGTGATCGTTTAAACTAGATCCATAGGTCTGCCACACCCACTTGGTTCCTTTTTCACCGCACTTTGTTTACTCGCTTTATACTTGTAAAAACCGGGTTACTAACTGGCGATGCAACTTGTTTTTAACCTTTATTATTTGGCTCACACCTCTCATCGCAATTGTTTGTGGTTACGACTTTTTTATTTAGTTTGCAAAGCATTGAAAAGGGTATATAGATTTATACAAGAATATATATTTGCCGACATGCATGATCGCTGTATTTTCATAGGCATGTGGAAACTCGTATTTAAACGTTTAACTAGAAATACAGAAAACAAACCTAAAAAAAAATAAATAAAAAGACAAGTGGAAAAAAAAGACAAGTGGAAATAAAAACAAATGAAAAAAAAAAAACAAGCAAATCATAAGCAAAATGTACTTGATGTCAGCTGTAGCAAAAAGGAAAAACAATATATATGAACATAATAATAATAAAATGTGGAAACGGATCTTAACATTCAACAATTGTTTCGATACATTAAACAACATTCAATTGCATTATTTAATTGAAATCAACCTACATACACACAGTGCATACACAGGTACACACACACTCACACACACCCAAAAGTCTCCTCGCTAAATAGGCGCAAAATCAAAGAAATATATAGATGTCGCAAAATGAGGAGATCGGAACACGAACAGGAGGAAAACAATTATAAAATTTACAGCATGAATCTTAAAAACTAAGTGTTTTTTTCTTAAAGGAAAAATAAAATGAAACATTGTTAATTAAACATCAAATATCATTTGAAATAAATTTAAATAAAACGAAATTCAATGGGCTTAATGGTTCGGTAATAATGAGTTATATCCATTCCGCAGTAAAAAAAACACACATTTTAAATTGGATTGAATTAAATCTTAAATTCTTTAGTTAAATTTTTCTTCTGCTTCTTCTTCTTCGTTCTTCGTTTCATTTCGTTTTGTTTTATACATTTTTTACATATCTACAACATAAAACGTACGCGTTTGGAACAATTCGGGAATTCCGGGTCGGGTGAAGCCTTTCAGCCAAGACCAAGGTACATAATATCGTATAAAGAACTAATGCTAACGCCATCGTCCGATCGTGCAAGGAAGGCCAGAGAATTGGAGTGAAAGGTAATGGTTCGGTTCGCGGTTAATTGGCCAGTTGTAGGAGTCCATTAGGAGGTTAGCCGGAGGAGAACTGGGTACCCGTCTCCTCGTCCTTGCTGTTGCTGCCCATTATCCAGTCCATGAGCATCATCGATGGCGAACGGAGTGCTGCGGACTGAGCTGCAGATGGGGATTGGGTTTGGGTTAGCACTTCATTGCATCTTGATTTCTTATTTTTCCGCACTCACAGAGATCCACGCCGATTGGAGGTGCCGCAATTGCTGCGGGATTGGCTGTCGTCGCTGGTGGTCCAGATCCAGATCCAGATCCTGGTGCCTGCGATCCCGCTCCCTGCTGCTTGGCCATGTCCTTCTGCAGCTGGATCATCTGCTGCAGGCGCTGCTCGCGCTCGTCCACGATGGCCTTGTCCTTGGAATGCTTCACCGTCTGCAGTTCGGCAAGCCTAACGAATCGAATCGATGATAAAAGGTTATAGCTTTCAACTGATTATCATGATCATATTATATATATATATATAAAATAATATATAATATATATAATATAAATAATATAATATATCCACTGCACTCCACTCACTTCTGCTTGAGGTCACTGCCAGTGGCACCCGTGTGGGCGGCGCCCAGATGCTCGCTGCTGCTGCCGGCACTGCTGGCCTTGCTGGGACTGCTCCCCGAGGCGGCCGACGAGGATGCAGTGGCGCAGGTGGTTGCTAAATTAATGGGACATCAAAGCTAATTAGAATGGCATCTATAATCCCCAATCGAGAATCCCCAACTCACGTTCATCGCTGACGCGACTGCGCTCCGTTTCCAACTGGCGCAGTGTGTCCGATAGCTTCAGCTGCAGGTGGTCGCGCTCCTCGAGCAGCTGCACCAGCTCCACGATCATCTCCTCGACGCGCATGTCCCGCTGGTGGAGCATCATCAGGGCGTAGTCCAAGTCCGCTTTGAGCACGTACTCCGGCAGCGGTTCATTGGAGGTCAAAGGTGGTGGCCCGCCGGCTGCCGACGGTTGAGATGGATTGGCGGATCCGGAGCCACGATTCTGCAGCCGGAAGGGATCGTATTGGGCGGCCAGACGGGCGTACTCAGCCGAACGGATGGCCAGCTGCTCCTTGAGCGTCACAATCTCCATCTCCTGCGTTTCCAGAGCCTTCTGCATATTGAGCATCATTTCGCCACCAGCTGCATTGGCGGCTCCTTCCTGCGGCTGAACGGGGGATGGTTCCTTCTGCTGGTGCTCCTGATTCTGCTGCTGGCTAAGCTTCTCCAGCTCCGCTTGGAAGGCCGCCTCCTTCTGGTTGAGATACTCCTGCCAAATGCTGGCCACCTCTTCGCACTTTTGCTCCACCACGCGCTCCCACTGCTGATTGATGGTGGTCAGATCGGGCACCTGCTGCTGAGCCACTGGATTCTGGCCGAGATTTTGGCCCTGCTGCAGCAGCTCCAGGGAGCGGCGCAGCTCGGTTATCTCGATGTCCTTCGTGTCCAATTGGAGCAGGGTCTGCTTCATCCGATCCTCCAGCTCCAGGCTGCTGAGCACATGGTTGTTCAGGACGCGCAGTTCCTCCTCCATGTCGGCTTTGTCCTGCTGCAGCTGCTCGCACTGCAATCGCAGCTGGTCGAGGGATTCGCCATCGCTTGTTGCGGAGGGAGGAGGAGGAGCAGTCACCTGATGACTCTGGCTCTCCCTGTCCTCCTCCAACTGCTTCACTTGCAGGCGGAGCATTTGCAGCTCCTGGTTTTTGGTGAGGATCTCAAAGACGAGCTTCTCCGTTTGGTCCTCGCGCATCAGCTCCTCGATGCGCTGCTTCAGATGCACAATCTCCGCCTCCTTCTCCTGCAGCTGCGCCATCTGCTCATCACTCCGTCCCCCGTCCACCGGAGACGCCTCCTCGCTTCTGATCTGACGCAGTGCCTCCAGTTCCGCTTGGTCTCGTGAGCACCGGGCTTCCAGTTCGACGAGTTGGTGACGCAGTTGCTGCATCTCCAGTTGATCGCCTTCCCGCTGCAGCAGCTGGGATCTCAGGTGCTCCACTTCCGGCTGGAGAGTCCTCAGGGTGTCCACTTCCGCTTGCAGGCTCCTCAGCTGCTCCAGCTCGAGGTGCTCCTGCTCGACTTGCCGGCTCTGCTGTTGATCCTCCTGGATTCTCTGGCTCTGCAGCTGCTCCTGCTGCACTTTGAAGGCCCTCAGGTGCTCCACTTCGGTTTGAAGGCTCCTCTGGTGCTCCACTTCGGCTTGAAGGCTCCTCAGGTGCTCCACCTCTGCCTTCAGTGAATGCAACTCCTCCAAATTGGTCTGTCCTTGGCGCAACTCCTCCACCTCCTGCAGACGCTCCTTTAGCTGCTCCTGCAGCGTTTCCCTTTGGGCCTGCGCCTGGGCGGCGGCTTCCTCCGCCAGTTGGACCAGGCGCCGCTCCTCCTTCAGCTTCTCCTGCAGCTCCTGGCACTCGGAGTTCAGGTCCTGGTTCTCCGCCTGCAGGCTCTCCAGTCGCGCCGCTTCGTCGCCGCTCAAAAGTGGATTGAAGGCGGCCGCAGGAAGCGGAGCAGCAGGAACTGGAGCAGGAACAGGGGCATCCCACTGATCCAGTTGGCTGAGCTTCTCCTGGAGCTCCCGGATGCGCGCCTGGTACATCTGCACGTCCATGTCCTGGCGCTCCTTCAGCTCCGCCATGCGCTCGTTGCCGGCCGTCAGAACATCGATGCGCTTCACCAGCTTCTCCTTTTCGAGGGCATGCTGCTGCGCCAGCTCCTCCGCCTTCGCTTGACGGGATTCGTGCAGCTGCAGCTGGTGCTTCAGCTCATCGATGATGGCCGAGTCCAGGTCGTTGTCCACTTGCAAAGTGGGCGTGGTCGTCGTCGTCGCCTTCGTTTTGTATTCCTTGAGGCGCTTCATCAGCTTGGCCGCCTTCGTTTGCAGTTCGCTCTTCTGCTGCTCCGCAGTGGCCAGCTGCAGCTCCAATTGGGCGATCCTCGCGTGCAGCGGCTCCACATCCGCTTGCGGCGCCTCGTTGGCGGCACTCGCCCACGGATCCTCGTCCACGCCCCAATCAATCGAAGTCGCCGATGGCTCCACGTTCTCCTGCTTCGGCTGGCACAAGTAGGCTTTCTTCGGCTGGATCAGCGGCTCCTCGACGGGCTCCGCTTGGGGCAGGCCCAGGTCCAAGTGCTGACTCACTGCATCGGTCACCGTTTCCCCGCCGAAGAACATGTCCAACGTGGGCGCTGTCGCTGCCGCTGCCGCCGTTGGTTGGATGAGCTTCTCCAGGGCGGCCAATCGTTCGCGCTCCTCGTTGGCCGCCTTGATCTCGGCCAGCTGCTGGTCCCGCTCCCTGAGCAGGCGCTCCAGCTCCACCAGGCGCTGCTCCAGCTGCAGACGCCGCTCCTCGTGCTCCGCCAAGCCCTGGTTCCGCGCCAGCAGCTTCGTCTCCAGATCCTGGGCATGCTTCTCCAGATCCGAGACGTTCCGCTGCAGATCCTCGATGGTGGGCGGCGGCGTCAGGGGCGGAATGGGTGGTGGTGGAATGCCAGCTCCGAGGGAGGAAACCCTCAGCGGTTGGGCGGCAATCTCATCGAAGGGTGAGGGAGCAGCCAAAGCGTCGCCGCCAAAGAACAAAGAAGTGGATGGAGGATGAGCCTGCAGCTGCTGATGCTGCTGCAGCTGCTGGAGCTGCTGGGATTGGGATTGGTGCTGCTGCTGGGACTGCTGATGCTGCTGCCTGGCCAACTGGGCCTGCAGCTCGCTCAGCTGCTCCGCCAGCCGCTTGTTCTCCGTCTCGATGTAAACCTGATCGTCGGTTTGGTTTTGGCCCAAGGTATCGAGCTCGGCGATCTGCTGCTGGAGCGCCTGCAGCTCCTGGCTGTGGTTGGCGCACAGCGAGTCGATCTGTGAGCGCAGGTTGTCCATTTCGGTCTTGTCCTGCAGCGCCTGCATGCGCAGCTCCTGCAGCTCCAGTGCATCCTGCTCGGCGCTGCTTCCCTGTTGCTGTTGCATAAGCAGCATGCTGCAATCCCGCTCCAAGGTGGACACCTTGCGCTCCGCCTCCTGGAGCTCTTCTTTGAGCCGCTGCACTTCCTCCGCCCGCTGGCCGACCAGCTCCTCGGATCGCTCCAGCTTTTGGTCAAGATCTCGCGACTTGGCCCATTGGTTCTTGAGCTCGTATTCAAGCTCTTCGAGTTCCGTTGCCTTGGCCTCCAGGTTGGCACCGTAGACATCCCGCTGCCGCTGCAGATCCGTCTCCTTGGCCTCCAGCTGGCGGCGGAGATCCTCGAGCTCCTCGTGGCTGCGTTGGTGCTCCGCTTGATTGGCAGCCGCAATCTGCGCGTGCTTCGCATGCAGAGCTTCGTGTTCCGTTTGGAGGCGGGTTAGCTGCTGCCTGGCCTCCTCCGCCTCGCCGGCCACCGACTCCAGCTGCTGGAGCTGCACCTGCTCCCGCCGGCCAAGCTCCTCCAGGCGCTCCTGCAGCTGCTGATCCTGCCGGCGCTGCTGCTCCTCACGCTCCAGTTGTTGTTGCAGCTGTTGCTGCAGCATTTGCACTTGATCCTGGGTGGCCGCATCCCGATTCGCCTGACTGGCGGCCTGCTCCTCGAGCGCCGCGCTTCGCGTCTGCAGCTCGGCGTTCTGCGCCTCCAGCGACTCAATGTACGAGGCGTCCTCCTGCAGTTTGGCCTGAATGCCCTCGTGAATCGTCTCCAGTCGCGCGATGGTCATCTCGAAGTTGGCCTTGTCGCCGGCGTACTGCTGCGCCAGCAGGGAGTGCTGCTCCTGGGCGGCCGTCAGCTGGACACGCAGCTGCTGCTGCTCCTCCTCGGCCGCTCGCAGGGATTCCAAATGCTGGAGGTTGATTGTGGGTTAGTAGATTGAATACGATCACTTAATAAGACAACTGGACTCACCGATTGACTGTCCAATGGTGGCGCTGTGCTCTTGGTTGCGTTGCCATCGATTCTTTGGCTCTCCAACGCGGCAATCTCCTTGCGCAAATTAGCAATCTGCGATTAAGAGATTTAATTTATATAAATAATAATAATAAATAATAAATGAATGAATGAATGATGAATGATAAATGAACGAATAAATGAATGAATGAATCAATGAATGAATTCATCAATAAATCAATAAATGAATGAGTGAATAAATAAATCAATGAATGAATAAATGAATGAATGAATAAATAAATGAATGAATGCATCAATCCACGAATGAATATATGAATCAATGAATGAATGACCCACCTCCGCGTCCTTCTCCGAATGCAGTTGCTCCTGGGTGGCTCTCTTCGTTCGCACATGCTCCACCTCACTGGCCTGCTGCTCCTCGTGATCCTGCTGCAGCTGCTGGAGTTCCCGCTGCAGCGCCTGAATGGTGGCATTGCGGTGCTTTATCAGCTCCTTGGACTTTTCGAACTTCTTCGACTTCTGCTCCAGCTGACGCCGCAGATCCTCGACAGCCGCTGGCTCTTCGCTGGACTGCTGTCGCAGCTTCTCGATCTCCCGCTGGAGTTGCGAAACCGCCTCCTTCAGTCTGGCGTTCTCCTGGCCCTGCTGGAAGACCTCCTGCTCGGCTTCCTGGCGCTCGCGTCGCAGCTCCTTGTTGACCAGCTGGGCGTCCTGGAGCTCCGCATCGCGCTGCTGCAACAGTTGCTCCTGCTCGAGGATTTGCTGCTTCAGCTGGCGCAGTGCATCGCGGTTCTCGAGGTTCACGTGGATCTTGGCCTTCAGGTCTTCGTTGAGTTTGCTGATCTGCTGCTGCAACTGCTCCACCTGCTGGGTGTCCACCTGCTGTGTCTCCTGCTGCCTGGCCTCCTGTTCCTGCTGCCTGGCCTCCTGGTCCTGCTGCCTGGCCTCCTGCTCCTGCTGCAGCTGGCTGGTCAGCTCCTGGACCTTCTGCTCGAGATCGGCGTTGTCCTGCGTGCGCTTCTTCAGGTTGAGGGCATACTTCTTGAGCTTCTCGCGCAGCTCTCGCGTCTTGAGCTGCTCCTCCTGGCGGGTCTGCTCCACACCCTGGTACAGCTCCTGGATCTGCTGGTTCAGGGCGTCGATGGTCTCCTGGCTGGAGGCCAGCTCGCTCACCTGCTGGGCGGCCAGACTCTTGCTGATGCGCAGAGCCTCGCGCAGCTGGTCGGGATCCTCCTCCTTGGCGCGCAGCTCCCGCAGCTCCTCCTGGGCGGACTGCAGCTCCAGCAGCTTGAGATTGAGCGTGTGCTCGCTCTCGCTGAGGTTCTCGATCAGCTGCTGCTTCTGCTCGGCCACCAGAGCCTGCAGGATGCTCAGTTCGCCCTCCAGCGATTCGCTGCGCGACTCCAACTCCCTGCGGATCCTCGTCTGCTGCTCCAGTTGCTTCTCGTGGCTCATCTCCTTCGAGTTGAGCAGCTGATCGAACTGCTCCGTCTGCAGCTGCAGCTGTGTGATCTCCGCGCTCTGCCTGGCCACCAATTCCCGCTGATCTGCTTCGATTTGCCGCAGCTCGCGGATCTGTTCCGCCTGCTCCTCCACCTGCTGGCGTTGCTCCTCGAGCGACGAGCGTGTGTCCTCCAGCAGCGACTGCAGTTGCAGCAGCTCCTCCTCATTCCTCTGGGAATCCGAACCACCAACGATGGCCAAAGGAGGGTTCTCCGACTCTGGATAGCTCTCCCTCAGCTCATCGAGTTCCTGGCGCAATCGCGAGATCACCGCCTTGAGTTCGGCATTCTGGGCATTGAGCTGCTCGTACTCCGCCAGAGCTTTGCCATTGGGAGCGGTGACGGCCACCACAGTCTCCACCACGGTGACCGTTTCCACCGCCGTGCTGGCCTCCTTCACCTTGTGGAGGAGCTCGCTGAGCTGCGTGTGACAGTTCTTGGCCTCCTTGGCCAGCTTCTTGGCCACGTTGAACTTGGCCTGGCGATCGTTGGCCCGGCGATAGGCCTCCAGCTCGGAGTTGAGCTTGCTGAGGGACTTCTCGCACTTCTCGAAGAGCACGGGTCCACCCTCGCCGGCGTCCAAGGCGGCCACCACCTCCGAGGAGCGCTGCATGGAGCTCAGCTCCTGCGAGAGATTGGAGGAGGTGGACGTGGAGGAGAGCAGATCCCTTTCCCTATCCCGCTCCCTCTCGCGCTGGAGGAGCTGCAGCGAGGTGGTGCTCTCCTCCAGGCGCGCCTGCAGCTGCACATTCTCGGCGGACAGCTGCTCCAGCTTGTCCAGCACTTCGCCGCGCTCCTGGGTGAACAGCTCCAGGCGTTCTCGCAGCTGGGAAAGACTCTCGCCGGACCGCTCCTCCTCCTCCTCCTCCGCATCCTCCGTTTGGGTGAGCTCGCTGACGTGACTGGGAACCGGTGGATCGACCACCTGCTTCTGCTCCTGGGCATCGCCCTCGCTGGCCGGTCTTCGTTGGCCAAAGCACTCCAGCTGCTGGCGTTCCACGATCTCGATCGATTCCGCCGAACTGGACGAGCTGAGCTTCTCCAGCTTGTCCAGCAGCTCCATGTTCTCGTTGATGTAGTGGGTTAGCTTCTTGTCGAGGGTTTCTTTTTCGGATTGAAGGGTGTCCAGCTGCTGGCGCTGCTCCTGGGCCTCCTGCTCCAGCTGCTGCACCCGCTGGTTGAGCTGCTCCTCCAGCTGCGCCTCGCTGAGCTCGGATTCCACGCGGGCGGACTCGTGACCCTGCTGCAGTCCCTCCAGTGCCTGCTGGAGTTCCAGTTTCTGCTCTTCCAGCAGGCGAATCGTTTCCAATTGCATTTCGGCCAGCGGCTCTGGTTTGCTGGCTGGTTTTACCGCCGCCGTCGCCGTCTCCTCATCCTCCTCCTCCTCGTGCATGTGAGCCAACTGCCACTGGCCCTTTTCGTCCTCCAGCACGGTGATCCTCTGCTGCAGCTCCTCGTTCTCGGCGGTCAGCGTGGCCAACTGCTGCTGGCCGTCCTGGGATTGCAGCTTCTGCAGCTGCTTCTCCGCCTGCTTGCACTTGAGCTTCAGCTTGATGTTGGCCTTGTTGGACTCGTCCAGCTTCTGCTTCAGCTGCTGCAGTTCCTCCTGCAGCTGCTTGCTGGCCTCGCCATCCTCGGAGGCAACGTCGAGGAACAGGGGTTTGCTGCGACTGCTTTGGGCCAGCTTCTCCTCCAGCAGACGAAGATTCACATTGAGCACATTGAGTTCCGTGGTCTTTTCGGCCAGCTCTTCACTCTGGGCAGCCATGGCGAGCTTTTGCTCCTCCAGCTGAGCGGATTGTACGGCTATATGGTCCTCCAGCTCCTTGAGTCGCTGCGAGACACTCTCATCGCTCACCTGGAGCTTCGTTTGGTTGGCTATCTGCTGGCGCAGATCCTCGTTGGTGGCTTGCAGTTCGGAGAGCTGGTTGGTGAGTTCCTGCAGCTGTTTGGCCAGCTCCACGCTCACCTGAGCATCGGTGGACGACGCCATAGGCTGCAGACTGCTGGGGGATTCCTGCTCCTCCTCCTGCTTCTGCTCCAGTTCCAGTTCTCGCTGTCGTTCTCGTTCGCGCGCCGTGGTCAGCTCCTCCTGGAGTTCGCAGCGGGTCGTCTCTAGCAGATCGTTGATGTTCTCCAGCTCTGCCAGTCGTTCTCTTAGCACTAAAACCTCTCCTTGCAGGCGGGAATGCTCCTGCTCCTGCAGGCTCTCTCCCTCCTGCTTCTCCGCCTTCTCCACCTTCTCAACCTCCTCTTCTTTGCCCAGACGCAGCTGCTCCAGCTCCTCGTTGCGCTGGGTCAGCGTTCGCTGCAATTCCGCACCGGACTGCTCCAATTGCTCGATGAGATTGGCGCGCCGTGCGAGCTCTGTCCGCAATTCCTGCAGCTCCTGCTCCTGGCGGCCCTGCTTGAGTTCCGTCAGCTTCATGCGATTCCTGAGCAGCTTCACCCGGCCCTCGTCCACCGGCTCCTGGCCCTGGGCCTCCAGATCCAAGGCGGAACGGTGACGGGAAACCGGTGGATTGGAGGTGGACGTCGCTTGCCGCAGATCCGTCATCGAAGAGCCCAGCTCGGCAGTCGTTTGGTGGCCAATATTCGACTTCACGGAGAGCAGGGACTTGGCCAGATCCCTCTTGCGTTGCTCCAACAGCGCTCGGTTCTGCTCGGTGCGCTGGGTGAGCATCAGTAGCTTCTCGCTGCCGCTCGTTTGGAGCAGCGAACCATCTCCGCCGGGGGCGCTGTCCTTTGTGGGCGTGACCAGAGGCGTTGAGGAGTCCCCGGCACGCGTTTTCAAAACGGTGAGCTTCTGTCCGAGCGTCTTTAGCGACTCCATGGAGTCACTCATGCTGGACTGGCGTCGCCCATCCTGGGATTTCCTCAGAGCGCGCTCTTTTAAGGCAGTAAGGCGCTCCTGAATGAGGGGGAATAGGATTGAATAGTTACGTGTTAAAGTGGGTACAATTATTTAACTCGCTCACCTGCTGCTTGTAAAGATTCTCTTTAAGGCTGTCCAAACGGCCCTTGCCTTCGGTGCCTCTCGTTGTGCTGGCGGATACATTCTGCAAAGGCGATAATGTTCACAGGTTAAATGGTTTAATTCAAGCGTTAAATAAAGGATTTCCTCACCTGTAACAAGGACAGATCGTTGGAGCTGCCCATCAAGCGTATATCCGCCTCGCCATATTCGTGATCTTCGGGCTGCAATATAACATTTCAAGTTATTATATTCTTATTAATAGAAAACATCTACAATGAAAAACCCACCTGAACGATGGAGAAATCGTAGGAACTCTCCAAGGCAGCCGAATCCTCCGCCATTGTCGTTTCAATTACAAAATATTACTAACTATCTAGTAACCAAATGGGAAAAACAAACAAACCAAAAAAAAAGAAAGGAAGCAAACAAAAAAACAAAACAGAAGTCGGGGAATCGGGAATATATATATGCGGACTAGCTATCTGAAGGACCGATTATATATCCACGGTGGCTGCGCAGCGCTATCTATCGACATTGACTGCAACGAGAGAGGTATTACCATGTAGCTAGCATATATCTTCAAGTTCCGATCCGATCGGTTTGTCTGTAACTTCTAGTTTTTGTATTTTTTAGATTTCGTGGCACTGACGTGTGCACCTCCTTGCATGAGTGTGTGTTCGTGTCGTTGCGTGTTTGCCTGTGTGAGGGTGTGTGTGCGTGTTTTGTTTGCTGATTTTTTCAAGCGCTTTTTCACGATTTTCCAATGCGTTAACGACACTTGAATCGGCGACAACTCGATCGGAATGAAAGAACTTCAATTTGATTAAGCTGACAAACGTGTATTTACCAATTCTATTTAATGCCAGCGTAAAAACAATGCAAAATCAGGGCTGCGCAACAACGGAATTGGGTCAGTCGGCCCTGGGCGTTCGTTGCGAATGGCATTATCGTAAGTGTTGGGTAATTCCAGAAGGGTGCGAGTTATGCAGCACTGTCTGACCCACTTATTTGAAAAACACTTTTTAGAAGATTACATGTTAAGTTCCGGCTTTATTAATATAATATAACAAAATTTAAATACAATAATTTCTTTATATATGTTTACAATTTTTCGATGTTAGATATTTAATAATTAAACTATTGTAAAGCGGTGACATTTTTAATATATTAAACCATCATTTATATATAACACTGAAAACCACTAGAGTTTTATAAATAAATTAAAACTATTGAAAACAAAGGTCAAGTGACAGATAACATTATTTCTTATTTAAACATAAAAATCAAGCATGAGTTTGAGGTAAAGCTTTAAATAGCAATCAAAAAATTATGCTATTAAAATAGCTGTGTTAAACATAAAATATAATATGTGAGCTACACAAAAACATAATAAGGAACCACCAGACTAGATGCGATACTTAAGTACAAAAATATCGAAACTCGATGTGCCAAAAGCCTCTAGGACTTTGAATTTACAAAATCTGGTTAAAATGCAATTAATTTAAACAGGTCGTCCTCATGGTTTAGGAACAATTTCTGTGAGTTATGGTTTGGAAGAGATTTCTTTGGAAAGTTCCTGAGTTAGAGGGATTTTTTTAGAGCCTCTATAATTGCTGCATGCCCGCCACGTTCCGCATACTCCAAGGCGCTCAATCCGAGCATGTCCTTCTCGTGAGGATTCTCGAAATACGGGAGAACGTATTGCACCACCTCCAGAAATCCATGCAGTGCAGCCACATGCAACGCAGTCCTGCCCGAAGGATCCGATTGGGCCAGGTCAGCACCAGCCAGCTGGTAGGACTTCAATCTGACCATCGATCCTCGAGCGGCGGCCGCACAAAGCTGCTCGCCAACCGCACGCGAAGATCCCGTCAAATGGGAACCGCAGTTGATCAGCAGCTGGATGATCTCGTGACTATCGGTGGACACGGCCTCCAGCAGCGGCGTGCGATCATAGCGATCCCTCACATGCACGGATACGCCATTCTGCAGAAGGTACTTCACGATCTCCACGTTTCCCAGCTGACAGGCCAAGTGCAACGCCGTCCGCTGATCATGATTCGTGCCAGACAAATCGGCTCCATAGGCCTTTAGATTGTTGATCTTCTTGAGATCGGCCTCCGCTACGGCGGCATTTATCATCGCCGGGAAGAGGGTTTCGCCCAGTTGATCAAGTTCTTGGGGCGAGGATAAGTGCAAAGATCGCGCCACCGCATCCACCAGATCGTAGTCCTCCATCTTAGGTGCCTTAAGGGATGTCAGTTCGCCCCTCAAGTTTGACTGCATCATCTAAAGAAAAAAGATTTGATTGTAAACAAAAGAAGATTTCCAATTTGATACACATATTGTTAAATTAATAACACTTTAAAAGCAGTAGAGTTTTACCTGCTTTTTGACCTCCAATGACCAATCTTCCTTCCCAATGACATAGGCCAACTTGGAGAGCGCCGCCTCGGGGGTCATGTCGTAACCAGGAATGACGCCCACATCGCAGAGCACTTTTCCCGTATCGTAAATTTCGGCCACTGTGCCATTGGGACACTGCGTACAATTTATGATGATCACACCCCGTTCATCGGCAGCCCGCAGTTCGTCGATCAAGTCCGTTCGATTCGAGGGGATGTTTCCAGATCCAAAGGATTGCAGGACGACGCCGCGGATCGGTGGAGCCAAGAATGCACGAAACGTGGAGTGCGAAATGCTCGGGAAAATTCGCAGCAAACCAACGTTCTCATCAAGATTCAGATGAACGCAAAATCTTTCAATACTGCACGGCCGGAAAATCTGACGGTAGTCCACATTCACATCGATGCCGATCCTCGCCAGCGGTGGAACATTCGGTGAATCGAAGGCGTCCAGGGCATTCGAGCTGACCTTCACCGTCCGATTGCCGCGCATGAGCTTGTGGCCAAACAGGATGCACACCTCCGGAATGATAAAATTACCGGCTATAATCAAGGCCGACGTGAAGTTATCCTTGCCATCGGTTCGCGTCTCGAAAATGGGAATTTGGGAGCCCGTGATGATCACCGTCTTGCCCAGATTCTCCAGCATAAACGACAAGGCAGAGGCCGTGTACGAAAGTGTATCGGTGCCGTGGAGCACCACAAAGCCATCGAAGAACTCGTAGGATTGCTGCAAAATGGAAATAAAGGAAATTATTTAAACCATTACATAAAATGCATTTCCCAGGCAATTACCTGAATATCACTGGCAATTCGAGCCCAGTCGTTCATCGTCATATTACTGCTGTCCAGCAGCGGTGCATATTCTGTGATCTGATAGATAATCCTGCGGTCCACGCCCTGAACAAAGGGCAGAACCAGTGGGGCCATCGATGCGGACGTCCCAAAGCGTCGCAAGGCGTACTCCTCATCGTGGATGTTTGGATACTTCCGAATGCTGCGCACCAGGGCATTGGGAATGGGAGCCAGCACTGAAATGATAAAACACATACATTAGTCTTAAATATTATTAAGTGTTTTATAAATCCCTGATTAGAACGCGTAATACTAAGCAAATAAAATGCTACAAGTAAATATTTACTTAACATTTTTAATAGTTTGTTTGTTATTGATGATTGCTTGATTAAAATGAAAGCTTTATGTAAATACTTCGCATATGTTAATGTGATGCTCGTTTAAGTACATATCAACTTGATTAAGAACCATAAATATCCAGACTTCTAATCTACGAAAATGAATTGTCATTCCGTATTCAATCAAACTATGGCTCAGGTGCATAGTTCTATCTTTTATCTTATCTGGGGAATATTTTTGGGACTCTCCTTGGTAAAAAAAGAGAATATATCATATAATATGGTAAATGATGTAGATTGGCATTTCAAATTTTTTTTTGAACAGAAAAAATATCCAATCAGAAATATATTCCTAACAAAATGGAATTTTCTTGTAAACAATTCTTGTTTAGTTAACGGTAGATCTTGGTTTTCATATATTGCTCACCGTTCCGGTCGTTGCGCACCATTCCGATGGTTCCGCCCGTGTATATGACCTTCACCCGAGCTTCCTTCACATCCTGGGCCATCAGCTTGCCATCGCTCTTGTTCCTCCGGATCGTGGGACTCGGTAAGGTGGGTGACGCCGGCGGCATGCCCTTGTCCAGCGATGTGAGTCTCTCGTGACCATTGGTCTTCAGTGCGGGAATATCCACTCCGTTCGCGGACATGGCTGAATATTTAATAACAAATGAAAGCGGAACACCGGTTGCCAATCCGTCTTATCGCTTGATTACTGAATGGTTTCGGGGCGTAAACAGAAAATCCATTAACAACCCGTGCCTCTGATTATATTTGGGCAACTTGTTATCGGTCTAATCCGGATTCCAAATATATAATATATAATATGTATAGTTATTCGCGGGGGAGCTTTGATAGCACGTGGTTCCCGAGTTCTTGCCTTCAAAAAGGAAATTGGATTCCAAAAGTCAAATCACGACGGCGCTGTGATTTATATAGATAACGCTAAAGACTTTGGCTTGTGACGTTCATGACTAATCTAATGAAATTCAAGCGCTAGGGGTACTTCCTCTCTCAAGATAGCAATATTTTGACCATAAATAAACATCAAATCAGCTGGGCGAACTATCGATAAACTTGTTTGTTGACTTTTTCGTTGCGAATTTCCGGCTTATTTTTGCTAAATTTTGAAAATTTTCCCCTTGTCTGGTTTACGTGTTTACAAGTATTCAAAAATATAACATCTGTTTTTTGCTTTTCCCAGCCTTCTATATATAGAATAGATCTGTATTTTTCTGTATTGATTTGTTTAGTAGTTGGTAATGTTTCTCTAACGATGTGGCTACTCTATTATGGGCGAAGCCATATCAGCGAATATCGATAAATTTAAAAAGCTAAAAAATCTAATATATCCCAATTGGAACTTCCTGATACGTTTTCAGTGCCTGTTTCTGATAAAATATTTATATCTTAATGACTTATAATCTATGTCCCTTAATATTATTCTAAAACTTTTGCAATAATCCAAACAAATGTTTGTTTTGCACTAAATTTTAAGTTGACATGTTGTTAATGATGTTTGCGTTTTTCAAATAAAAATTGATTTTAAGAACTGATACTTATTAAGTTCTTAAACATAGTGAAAAGCATATTTAACCATATGTAAGTAATTTCCCGTAAATGTTGTACATCTATGTTTAAGTTAAAATTTTTCACCCAATTTTATCTTCTCTAAAAATTAGCTAGAAAGCATAATTTTGACGGTCTGGCAACCTCGAAAGCCTTCCCAGGTCCGGCAGCTTTTAATATCCGTTACCTTCGCGGCAAAACCAAAAAACCCAATTGCGCAATAAAATTTCATCTTGTGATTTTCAAAAATTGAAACGCCGTTGTAATGAAGTGCAATATGGAATACATTTGGATGAAAACTGTGAAAACTATAGCTCGTTGTGGTTGTGGCTGGCCGGCAAGTGGGGCTGCAAGTCCCTCCAAAAATCGACGCGCTGTTGCATTAGTGCATTCTCCAGTCGGAAAATTGACGGCGAATCCTCGATTTTGGTTCCCAAACGGGCATATTCCACGGGATAACTGGACGCAGGACTCCAAGTGGGCAAATGGAAGCTGACATTCGTCGGATTTGGATTGCTACAAGGAACAACAACAATAAAATCAAGGTAATCAACGTTTCAGTTTCAGCAGGTACAGTTACCCCGTTCTTGCAAAGCTGACCCACAAATGGAGCATCAGTTCACGGAGTTCCAGATCTTTTCGCGTGGGCACCGCACTCACAAACAGCTCCCGGCCAATCGGGAATAAATACTGCAGCTCCTCGGCATGACACGCGCCGTAGAATTCATTTCGTCCGCCCTTGAAAATCTCCGTAAAACTGGCGGCGCCCTTGTGATCGAAAAGGTAGACATATGTGGGTGCCACGCCCTCTTGGGACATCCGAAGGCGCAAGTACTCATCGATACCAGCCACAAACCAGCCATCCGAAATCAGCTGAAAGAGTAAGAAATGGATCATAATTGCAAATTGAAATGGCTCTCAATTTTACCATTTTGAATTCACATAAAAAATTGGTTTGAATCTTACAAGTTTTCTTTGCATTGTAGATTACCACTTACATCGGTCAGATTCTGGTGGTTGGCCTTATCGTAATCGTGACCCGCCTTGAAGTAAAAGCCCTCGATGCGCTGCGTAATACTCTGCTGCACGGTATCCTCGTGATGATCGTAGTTGAGGACGACGGGCAGGACCTGCTCGAACTGCGACTTAAACTCGGCCAGCAGCTGGGGAAGATTCAGCAGGGCGGCTGTTTTCAGGAGTCCCTCTTCGGCGGTGGCACCAACGAGCAGTGGCAGTTGTAATCCATGAGGCCGTGGCGCCTGGCGAGGTGAAACCGTGAGGAAGGCGTCCTCGTGCTCCGGTTCGATGACTGGCGGAAAGGGTATCATTGGGTCAAAGTCCCAAACCTGTCAATAAGTTAAGGTAAGACTGATTAGCCTAGTTTGTTTTCCCTTCACCTAATTTGCTTAATAATTGCATTGTATTCTTTTTGGTCAACCACTTCTGTTGAGTGGCTTCTTTTGTTAATTATAACAAAGTCTTTTAAATTATGTTGGATTTAAAGATCGAACGAATATTTTTAAGCACATACAACTTGGGAACTTACAAACATGTCGTATAAGGAGGCCACAATTTCATCGGCAGGCCTTTCCCGCAGGCACTCCAGTTTTTGCGGCCATTCACCGGCTGATCCGCAGCCGACCAGCTCGGCCAACTTGGTGGCCCTGCCAGCTGCGACTCCTTTATGAGCGGGCTGAGCCCAGGGATTGAAGTAGGTGCCCGACTGGGCGATGCCTCGGTGCAGTAAGCCGCGCGACTTCTCCGACAGCATGTGATAGGTGACACTGGCGCCGCCAGCGCTCTCACCGAACACAGTAACACTATTTTGATCACCGCCAAAGCTTCCGATGTTCGCACGCACCCAGCGAAGGACCTCCAGTTGGTCCTTCAAGCCATTATTACCGGGACAGTCGAGCGTCTCGGTGCTGAGAAAGCCGAGCGGGCCCAGTCGAAAGTTGGCCGAGACCAGGACGACGTCGTGGTCCAACAGGAAGTCCGGACCGTAGAAGCTGCTGATGCCGGAGCCGCATTGCCAGCCACCGCCATGGAACCACACCATCACGGGCAATGATCCATTCACTTTCGGCGTTTCGGGCGTGTAGACATTGAGATACAGGCAGTCCTCGGAGCCCTCGATGATCATGTCGCGTCGGAAGGGGTCGCGCTGCAGGCAGATAGGTGCATCCTTGATGGCCAGACGTTCGCCCTCCCAGGAGGCCTTCGCCACCGGCGGACGGAAGCGAAGATCGCCGAGCGGTGGCTCCGCGTACGGGACACCCATGAACGCCCGCATGTGCCGACCATTGTGGGTGGTCATGTGGCGTCCGATCAACCAGCCGCCGTGGGCCAATCGCACGTGCAAGCTCTGCGAATTGCGTCCATCGCCGCGCTGGCTGCAAACGCACAACAGAATCACCTGGATCAAACAGAAGGCAGCGTTTCTTGTCATCGCGTCCGCGCTTTTGAAGTCCGACTTCAGACTGATTTAGCGGCTGCACAGCGCTCGTAGTTTTAAGATTACAACATCATCCAATAGCCAAGCTGGTGGTGGAGAGCCAGCGAACTTGTTTACCGAATTTTTTTAGCGGCCCGTCTCTTAGCTCATTAATTCTGCTCATTTTTCGTACTCTACACTGCGTGTTTTGAAAATATGTCTAGAAGTTTGCTCTGTATACTTCCTAACCAGTTATTGTTTTTAATAACTTCACTAACTAAAATCACATGCCTTTATTAAATACCCTAGATGTCAGTTTATTTTATCGTTAACATTTTTTTTAATTTTAGGAAGCGATAACGCAGCTGGAAGAGTATGCAAATGGCAATGTGCACGCACTGATATGTTTTTTTGCCACTTAGCATCGTAATCAGCATCAGCTCAACATCAAGCATCGACATCAATTTCAGATGTTTAGGTTTCGTTTTGGAACATTGCGCAAAATTGGTCAAATCGAGACGTAAACCGTGGTATAAGGTGTGTCATTAAATCGATTAGCCACCGTAAGTAAATGTATTGTCATCTATTTATTAGCTGCGGGTGAGTTTCTTTGGAAAGAGTAGATATCATTATGAGATCATTGTTATTAATCAATTATTTTTTGGCAGTTAATTGTGCTTCAATTAATGGGAAAAATGGATTTTATTGAATGCTGTCTGAAAACTAAATAATATAAGGATAAACGAAACACAACCACCAATACCAGAAACTATTATTAAAAATGGATTTACAAGGATAAACAAAACACACCCATCAATATGAAAAACTATTAAAAGCGGGTAAGTGCAATGAATATCCGTTTTAAATTTAAGTTGGTTCAAATCCCCTTTGAGATAATATCCCTTTATGTTTTCATAAGTTTAATTTTGAAACGTTTGTTATTTGTCGTATTCGCCTGATCCCACTGTTGGCGGCATAATGATTTAATTTGGCCAACGTTGGTCTGTCAATGACAAGGCATATTAAGTAGAGTCGCTACCCCGTTGCGAGAACGATACTACAACTATTATATATTGAAAGTTATTCCTGAGCAGATGCAGATAATGTTCGTATCATTGGCCTTGGCTTGAATAGATCGCTCCTAAGCGTCTTAGATATTCTGTTAACACTTGGAAAAATTAAGATTGGGGCTTTGTAAATATTATAGGATAAATTACAAGCTTTGACATTGGATGGTCCGAAATTGTGGTGTTTTAAAAGACAAGTCATTGTTTTATTATACATTTTTGTTTACAAATTGTTTTAAGCAGAATGTAATAAATTTTTGAGTGTAGGAAAGCCCAAAGAGAGGGAGCAGCATCGATTAAATAATATGTTAATTTAAATTTGTACAAATTCATCTGAGCATATTTATGAGCTTGAGAAATATTTTCGGCGGGTCGAGCCCACAGAAGGAAATAAAAATAAAACGAAACCAAAAACGAAACCGAAACTGAAAACTTGAAAGTTGGTAAAACAGAATAAAAATGCGGCAGGGCGATGAACGGCGGACCCGAGATGAAATGCTATGTGAGATGAAGAAGCGCACTTAAAAAATGCCTTTGCATGCCGAAAAATGCCGTCGAGCTAATAGGTCCCTTTGAAGTTAAAACGAGAGAACCGCTGATGAGCCAAGCCTTAAAAAAAAAATAAAACAAGAACTGGGGAATTTCTAATAGAGCGGGATGGCTGAAAACTTTTCATTGTGAGGCAGAGGTAGCAGGGCCTTTTTTAATTCATAACTTGAAGTTACCTTTTTGGGAACTAATATGCGACACACAGACATGATATGCACCACCCCAAAACCACCTTCTTTCCGCCTGACAAATGTCCAGGCCGGGCACACAGATTTATTTAGCTGCAAACAATTTTAATCCACTTGAGTGCCAATTTATCAGCCGGCGAACAAACAAACGAAACGGACCGGACCGGGCCAAAATTGATATGTGTTACCAAGTAACTATATATCTGGTTGCATATATGAAGGAGAAGGGCAATGGTGACTCAAGGACTTAATTCATTTCCCCCATCCAACCGGAATACTCGTATATGTGAGTACTAGTTAGCTAGTACTTCAATCTCTTTGACCCATAATAAAACTGCTGGCTGACCGGTTGGTCTGGATAGGTTTTCTTCAGAAATACTGTAAACTGGTTTGCCATTTCGTTCGCAGCCCAATTTATGATAATTTATGAGAGATATTTTAATCTCTTTAAAGGTATAATACGGCATTTGTATTAATTAATTTGTACTTGCATTAACTATATATTCATTTGACCAACTTAGCCCCAAAAACATTTCTGTTTGCAGCTAAGCAAACTCTGATTTAAATTTGTTGAACTTAAAGTCTGCTGAAGGGGGAAACTCTTGGGGTTGACAAGAAACCCTTTTTTTTTTTTTTTTTTGCTGGGGCGAAGGTGTAAAGGGGATTTGCTGCCCAACAGCGAAATGGAAAATGATTTATTGAAGGTGAAATATTTATTGTTGGTTGTTTTTTTCTCTTTGGTTTTTTTTTTTTTTTTTTGTACGACTGTTGTGCTGTGTTTCGGTTTTGTTTCTACAGTAAACAATGGCTAGGCGGCATCTTTTGAATTCTTTCCACCTCCTTCGGCCGAAAAAGTGAAATAATTATTAACAAAAACAAGCGGCAAACATGGAACAACAGATGCTTCTGGAGGACGAGGCGACCCTCAGCCTCATCCCTTCCTTAAATATTTATTTATTCTGCGTTTTGGGTCAATTCCTCTGGTTTCATTTAATTAAAAAGAAAAGCCAACTCGCGAGGCATAATATCCATGAAAAACAAAAAAAAAAAAAAAAATAAAGCAAAAACGGGGAAAAGGGAATATAAATATCCAGTCACATGCATGGATATCTGGGTGTCCCTTTGGCTGCCGCTCGGCTTGTCCTGGTATTTACTTAGGATCAGGTGGTGAGCCAACCCCATCCCCTTGCCGATTTTTCCCCAACAACAATGCCAAGAAGCCGCCGCGGCAGGCGAAGCCAAAATTTCAATTTCGCGGTTGCTGCATATTTTCCCAGCCTTTATTTCTCCGCTTTTGCTTTTGACTTCACCAACAAGGGACAAGCCACTTTCGGCAATGGAATTTAAACGAATTTTTAAACAGGCAAAGTACCCACTTCTCCCACTCCCCCCCCTCAAGTTTTATGCCATGCCCATCATCTCAACTTTAAAGCCTTCGAGAGGAACAAAAAAAAAAAAAGCAGAGCTTAAGCGATAATTGGCCACTAGGAAATGTCGATGATGTTGAATCGGGAAATGCAAATTGCCAATGTCCGGAACGGGCTTAGCCGCCTAAGTCCAATAACCCAAAGAAGGCAAAAAAAAAAAAAAAAAAAGGAAAAAAAAAACTTTGCTTGCGGACTTAGGTCCTGGCGACCTGACATGGATCAGGTTAAGCGTTCGAAGCGGCGGCCAACAAATTGATATGCAGCAGATGTTGCCAGGTTTACATCCATAATAGTAATAATAATCAGAGCCCAGGGAAGTTTGTGGGGAGGGTATAAAGAACTTTGGATACGCTTACCGCAAAAACAGGGAGGTAGTATACATATAAATAGCTACACAATATTTTCAAATATTGTTATATCTTAAAATATTAATATTAAATATTTGTTGGTAGGAATCGAGAACTATTTTCTCGAAAGAAAAGAAACGAGGCATAAATCCATTTAACGCTTTTTTACGGGTAGTGTATGTAGTGAGCTAAATATCAAAATAAGGAGCAGCTTCTTACTCAGAGTCAGATTCAGATTCAGATCCAGAGGATGTGGATGTGGATGTGGATGTCGAAGCCTGTCAGAGGGATTAGCTCGCCTGATTGGACACGATGTGATTAACTTGTCGTCAACGCGGTGACTCCGCCGCTCATTCAGAACAGAATCTGAATCCGACTTTGGCTTTGGCTTCGGCTTTCCGCTGACTGTGTGACGTCGACACGTTCAACGCAGCTTCACTCTGGTGGATCGCACCACCACCCATTACCCATCACCCACCATTCACCACCCAAACCTCCCGTTGTCGCTAAACAAAAGTGCAAACATTGACAGACGGCCGAAAAGGGAGGAATGGGTGGTAGAGTGGGTGTTGCGGCGGAATTGCCAGGCCAAAATTAACCCATTACGCACTCCATTAACGCAGTTTGCCTATGCATGTGGGCCCCGGCTAATTAGTTGTGGCAGCTGATGCTCCACACTCCACATTCCCGACTCCCAACTCCCGACTCCCGATATTCCTGCACACATGTGTAGTTAATACAATTACCTTACCAACGAGAGACACAGGCGAAATGCCAGTCGCAAATTCAGTTATTCGGCTTGGTTAACTACAAATCGAATGCACCACTCAAATACCCCTCAGCACATCCTGTTTAATCCAATATGCCAAAGAAATATGGGAGGTTCGATTTATTTTTCAAGCAAGGGAATTCCCAAAACAGTTTAATTGGAATTTAAAATTTCCAAGTCAAAGGTCTTTTTACTTGAAATTTGTATCTGTACTTTAATTATGTTTTATAATAAACGATAAAAAAGCATCTTCTCTGCGACAAACAATAAAAGCCAACATATATTGTTGCTTTTGTGAGCAATTATTGTTGATTTTTCCACGGAAAGCCTGCTATTTCCTTTATATATATATTTTTTTTTTTTTTTTTTTTTTTTGCATTTGCTTCGTTGTGCTCTTTTCAGATTCTTTCATTTCGAGTCAAGTGCATTCTCAAGTCTTTCTCTCGATTGCCGGCTGCGGATTACGCGCCAGTGCATCCGAATGCCTGGCATTTGCATTGCCAACAATCACAACAATTGGCCAACAACCATATTGTTGGCCATATGGCCATATGGCATGGGGATTGCGGTCTGGGATGATCCGCCCTGTTGGCTGCCCAACAAGCCGCTAACAATCAAGTGCACAATTGCCATAAGGCCACAGAAAGAAGGGGGCAACTCTCTCGGTTCTGGAGACTGGGACAAATGGCCCGGGA